ATTATTTTGAGATGGAGTCTCGCTCTGTTGCCCAGGCTGGAGTGCAGTGGTGTGATCTCTGCTCACTGCAACCTCCACCTCCCGGGTTCAAGCGATTCTCCTGCCTCAGCCTCCTGAGTAGCTGGGACTACAGGTGCACACCACCATGTCCAGTTAATTTTTGTATTTTAAGTAGAGATGGGGTTTTGCCATGTTGGCCAGGCTGGTCTCAAACTCCTGACCTCAGGTGATCCACCCACCTCGGCCTCCCAAAGTGCTGGGATCACAGGTGTGAGCCACAGCGCCCGGCCCTATGAAGTATTTAGAACAGTGTCTGGCACTGAGTACATAGGATTTAGAATTATTATCATTGTTACTGAAGGACTCCAAGGAGGGCCTTCCCCCTTCATATGTCAGAAATGGCAGCTTTTTGTGTTACACATTGCCTTTTCTGGGGTCAATTTTTTTTTTTTTTGAGACAAATCTTGCTCTGCTGCCCAGGCTGGAGTGCAAGTGGCATGGTCTCAGCTCACTGCAACCTCTGCCTCCCAGGTTCAAGCGATTCTCCTGCCTTAGCTGGGACTACAGGCATGCACCACAATGCTTGGCTAATTTTTGTATTTTTAGTAGAGACGGGGTTTCACCATGTTGGCCAGGCTGGTCTTGAACTCCTGACCTGCAATCCGCCCACCTTGGCCTTCCAAAGTGCTGGGATTACAGGCGTGAGCTGCCATGCCTGGCCCTCTGGGGTCAAATTTAAGCCCCGCGGAGGAAAGAGAAAATCCCCAAGGTCTGGGGACCTGACTTATTCCCTAATAGGCCAGGCCTGTAGCAGGGACAGCCACTGGCCACATGGTTTGAGTTGCACATTTGGGAAGGGGCACAGCCCTGAGGCCCCCTTTCCTCCATTCATCCCTTGCTCCTCCAGCCCACCCCTTCCCAGGTACTCACATGGAGTGTGGGAGCTCAGCACGCCCAGCCGGCATCCCTATCATCATATCATCCTGGGTCAGCTACTGGTTTGCCAATTGACCTCAGCCAGCCTCACCATCTCAGTTTCCTCACATTCCAGGGCTGCTGAGAGGGACAGAGGACATGGTGCACAGAGCCAGTGGCTGTGCTGTGGAATGTCCCAGTGGCAGAGGGCACAACTTGCTGCTATTCCTAAGCCCAAGCATCCAAATGCAAGGTGAGAAGGCAGTGAGTTCATTCAGACCCTGCAAGCGGGATGGGTCCGGCCAGTGAAGAGACGCCCCCCAGTGGACCGGAGGTGACGGAAGCACTGACCCTGCTCCGAAAAAAGAGTCCTCAGAACCTGGCTAAGGATAGAACAAAGACTGGACCCCATTTGTTCCTACATCCAGGGGACAAGGGAGAGGGGAGCAAAATGTCACAGAGTGTGGCAACAGACACAGCAAGCACCCTAAAATGAAAGGAGCATACCAGCCAAACCTCAGCGCCCCCAGAAACGTGTTTATTCAGGGTCATTTCCCACATGCCAGAGATGTATATATACATCATCTTAAGAATGTTTACCACATCTTATTTATTGAATATCTTTCACTAAATCCATCTACATTTTCAACTTAGGTGGATTTAAAAAGGAAACTGGGAGGCCAAGGCAGGGAGATCATGAGATCAAGAGATTGAGACTACCCTGGCCAACATGTTGAAACCTTGTCTCTACTAAAAATACAAAAATTGGCTGGGTGTGGTGGCGGACACCTGTAATCTCAGCTACTTGGGAGGCTGAGGCAGGAGAATTGCTTGAACCTGGGAGGCAGAGGTTGCAATGAGCCAAAATCAGGCCACTGCACTCCAGCCCGTTGAGAGAGTGAGACTCTTGGTCTTAAAAAAAAAAAAAAAGAGGAAACTTCCAATCACTGCCCTGCTCTGCCATAAATATAAGGTCACCATAAAATGGATAGACAGAGCACAAAGCAACATTGTTAAATTCTAGCCAAACACTGTTGCCTACCCGAGGCTGTGAGCTTGAGACCTGCTCTGCCTTAGTTAAAAGGAGAAAATGGGCCGGGCGCGGCGGCTCAAGCCTGTAATCCCAGCACTTTGGGAGGCCGAGGCGGGTGGATCACGAGGTCAAGAGATTGAGACCATCCTGGTCAACATGGTGAAACCCCGTCTCTACTAAGAATACAAAAAATTAGCTGGGCATGGTGGCGCGTGCCTGTAATCCCAGCTACTAAGGAGGCTGAGGCAGGAGAATTGCCTGAACCCAGGAGGCAGAGGTTGCAGTGAGCCGAGATCGTGCCATTGCACTCCAGCCTGGGTAACAAGAGCGAAACTCCATCTCAAAAAAAAAAAAAAAAAAAAAAAAAATGGAGAAAATGGACCAGTTTGAGCAACATGGTGAGACCCTACCCTGTCTCTACCAAAACAAAGAAAATTATCTGGGCATGGTGGCACACTTGTGGTTCCAGCTACTTGGGAGGCTGAGGTGGGAGGACTGCTTGAGCCTGGGAGTTTGAGGCTGCAGTGAGATAAGATTGTGCCACTGCACTCCAGCCTGGACAACAGAGAAAGACCCTGTCTCCAAAACAAACAAAAACAAATGCAAACAAAACAAAACAAAACAAACAAACAAACAAAAAGGGAAATTGGCAAGTATCAAAGAGCTGTTAAGGTGGGGTGGTGCCACCTGAGACTCCTTGATGACATGGGAGGATGGGAACGGAATGGGAAGGAATATCTTTCTCACTCTGTGCCTTTGTGCATTCACCTAAAATAAAGCAGTTTATGTGTGAAAATACTAATGAGGTGAGGCCAGGTGCAGTGGCTCATGCCTGTAATTCCAGCACTTTGGGAGGTCGAGGCAGGCAGATTACTTGAGGTCAGGACTTCAAAACCAGCCTGACCAACATGGTGAAACCCCATCTCCATATTGAATGTCTTCTCATGTATTTATTGGGCATTTATGTATCTTTGGAGAAATGTCTATTCAGGGGCTTTGTCCATTTATTAATTGGGTTGTCATGTGCACTTTTATTAAACCACCTTCTGTGTGATATGCACCTACTGTGTGCTGGGCACTGTGTCATAGTCACATTGCAGGTTCTCAAAATGTGGCACATTTACAGAACCTGCAGGCTTAAGGAGGAGAAGTCATCAGGGACTCTCACCTTCTTTTGTCTCTAACAGAATTTTTACAGATGAGGAAACAGGCCCGGAGGAGGCATGACACCATCCACGACACACAGTGCAGAGAACAGATGGTGGCAGTTACTGTTTTTGACTGCCCAGTAAGTTTTCCTGGCCACTTTTTCTTGGTAACAAACTCTGATACCCTATGTGTGGTAGGCATGTGACCCAATCTGGCCAATCACAGTTCTTTATCCTCTGAGCAACAGTGACTGGTTTGAGGAGTAGCCAATCCAAGCCTTCCCTGAGACTGACATACAGATGCTGGGAGCATCACTCCTTTCACTGGAGAAGCTAGCTGCTGCTGCTGTGGCCACAGCCAGGCTATGGTAGTCTGCAGATGTGGGCCGAGATGAAGGCCAGGAAAGAGCCCAGGCCCCCTCATTGCAGGTAGGTAAATACCACCTCCTGCCACCACTTCCAGAGACCAGTGATGCCCCCTGCAAGAAACCCCTGGAGGCTCTAACTGACCCTACCTTGGCCCAGCCCAGCCCATCTCACCACCTCCCTGGCCACATCTAGGACATGGTCCCTGCAACCTGCTCAGTTGTCTGGCTTTCGGTTCCCTGGACTCAGTTTACCCATCTGTGAAAGGGAGCGCTATTAGCATTATAAGGATTAAGGAGGGTAGTGGCCATAAATGTGCCTGCTTTGGGTCTCAGTGCTTAGTGGATGTTCAGGATGGACTGACCAAGGATGCTCAGAATGTTTCTCCTTCCCTTCTTCCCACACCTAGAAAAGCCTCTCAGCCCATCTGCTGAAAGTTCACCTAGGTGTTTGCCTGCTGGCTGGAGCTGCCTCCATATCATTCTGCCCTGCAGCCAGTTGCCTCTTGTTTCAGTATCCTAACGGGCCATTCCCATGACACCCACAGACTGAGAACCAAGGCAAGCTTTTATTTAACTTTGTTTCCCAGGAGAAAACATTTAGAATGGCAAGATTAACCTGCCACATAAAGAACCACTAAATCTTGGAAAGGGAAAGAAGGAAATAGGAATCCACTCCCACCTTCATCTTACTGGGGCGGAAGCTGAGGCCCAAGGCACTGGGTCGCCTTGGCCAGGCACTTGCCTGCTTGGAGCCTCAGTTTCTCCATTTGTAAAGGAAGCTGGAAGGCTCCATGACCCTTTCCAAGAGTCAGCTAGAAGGAGTAGAGAGGGCGAAAGTTCCCCTGACAGATGGGAGAGTTCATAGCCAAGCTTAGCTGCTCGCTCAATGGGGGGCCTCTGACAACTTCCTGGGCTACCCTGAGCCTATTTCCTCATCTGAAAAATGGGAGTGATTAGATTGGCTAATCTCAGGGGAAGAATTGTGGCCAGTGCCTGACAAGGCATCTGTCTGTCTACTAAATAAATAGTAGCTATTATTACTAGCTTGTTAGAGATTAGAAGAGCAGGTATTCCAGGAATTCCATATGTTTCTAGGTGACAGATGTGCAAGGAGCTAAGAATGTGCACTCTGGAGCCAGACCACCTGGGTTCCAGTCCCCACCCTGCCACTGCCTAGCTGTGTGATCTTCTCTCTATGCCTCAGCTGAATTATCTGTGAAATGTAAGAGAACTGACCTCACAGGGTTGTTTTCAACATATCACACAATTTTCCCATTGAAAGTGTACAGTTCAGTGGTTATTAGTAGGTTCACACATAATGTACAATTCTGTGAATCACCACTGTCAATTTCAGCACATTTTCATCACCCCAAAAAGAAACCCCACATGCTCTGGCAGTCACACTCCACCCCTTCTCCACTGCCCAGTCAGCCACTCATCTAGATTCTGTCTCTATAGATTTGCCTATTCTGGCCATTTCATACAAGTGGAATCACTCAAGGCTGGGCACGGTGGCTCATGCCTGTAATCCCAGCACTTTGGGAGGCGGATCACCTGAGGTCAGTGTTTGGAAAACTCTGCCCCTACTGCAAACGCTCTCTCTCTCTCTCTCTTTCCCTCCCCCACAAAGAGGCTCCCTTATCTCTCACTTTACATACCGGTCCTAGCCCTCCCGCCGCCCAGCTTCCCGCCGCCCAGCTTCCCACCCAGCAGTTCAAACTGACCAACAGTTGCCCACCACCTCGGCTTTTGGCTTCCCCACCCCCCAGCCCTTCAGCCCCCTATAAAACAACCCTGCCCCTCTGAGCAGCGCGGCCATTTTTCCTTTTCGTCCCGGCTGGCCTGCCCGGAGGCTCTTTCCTCTCAATAAAGCCTGAACTTAAGGAATTTCCTCTAGCCTGCGGTCCGGTTTTTTCCGAACGAGCTCAGTCTTCCCGCAGAGGGTAGGTCGGACAAATGGTGCCGGAAACCTGGGACGGGAGCTGGGGCCGTTGGCCCGGCCACGGCCCCCCTCCCCGACCTACCCAACACTGGCCCTGCCACCTCCACGTTCCGATTAAGGTAAGCCAAGTTTTTCTTGCTTTGCCTTCCCCCGCTTCCCGTCTCCTCTTCCTATGGCACGGTGCAGTTGCTCCCTCTCCAGCGTTCCGCACGGACTCCTTGCCTAGTCTCGGCCGAGCCAAGGTAGTCTTCCATTCCGGCTCCAGGAGCCTTCCGAGGGACAGCCGCCAGACGGGGGACGCCCCTCTGACCGCTTCCCTTTCCGTACTTAATTGTACTCCGGGGAATTTGCAACGAACGGGGACGCCTTTTCGTTGCATCTGCCCATCCGCGCCGGAGAGTCTGTAGCTGCGCCTGCCATGGGAAATTCGGAGTCCAAAATACCTCTGAGCACCCCCCTTGGGTGCTTGCTGCGAAATTTTACCAAATTGGGATATTCCCAAACCCTCAGAAAGAAAAAGCTTATTTTCCTGTCCCAGGTGGCTTGGCCCCAATACAAACTCAGTAACCAGTCACATTGGCCCCCGACTGGCACTTTTGATTTCAACACCCTCCGAGATCTCGACGATTTTTGTCGCTGCGCGGGCAAGGACAATGAAATTCCTTACGTCCAGGCTTTTTGGGACCTCCGTACCCACCCCAACCTATGTTCTTCCTGCTCCACCTACCAAATCCTCTTATCTCGAACCCCCCATAAATCTTCCTCCACTACCTCTCCCCCACCCTACTCCTCACCGGAGGATCTGCCTGAACATCTGTCCTCTCCTGCCAATCTCAGCAACCAGTCGCCATCAACGGCACGCCCTTCCCCCACTCCCTCTGCACCTCCTACCTCAGAGGCCATGCCTCACTCTCCCTCTACTCACTCTGTGCCCCCTCCCTCAGAGGCCGCACTTCCTCTTGCCTCTCCAGTGGCGGCCCACACCTGCTCCCACCAGCCAGCTATCCTGGCCCCACTCTGAGAAGTAGCAGGCGCAGAAGGTTTAATCAGGGTCCATGTTCCTTTCTCACTCCAAGACCTGTCCCAAATTGAGCAACGTTTAGGATCCTTCTCAGCCAACCCGTCCACCTATATTAAAGAATTCCAATACCTCACTCAAACATAAGAAGCCCTAGTCCGGTACACTCGACTAGATCCAGCTCCCAAAACGGGGCCACTGTATTAGCCTCCCACTTTATCTCCCAATCAGCACCCGACATAAGAAAGAAACTAAAGAAAGCAGAAGAGGGGCCAGAGACTCCCATCCAAGACCTGGTAAAAATGGCCTTTAAAGTATTCAATGCCAGGGAAGATGCGGCTGAGGCTGCCCGCCAAACTCGCATGAAGCAGAAGGCTGCCCTCCAGACCCAAGCCCTAGTGGCGGCTCTAAGGCCGGCAGGGAACCAGAAGCCCAAGGCCAAAACCCATGCCCCTCCAGGGGCATGTTTCAAATGTGGAAAGGAAGGACACTGGTCCCGAGCCTGTCCACAACCATGGCCACCAACTAAGCCTTGCCCTATCTGTCGGCTCCCGGGACACTGGAAGTCAGACTGCCCCAGCTTCCCCAGGGTGCCGGTTCCTCAAAACAGACACACTGGCGTTACGCAGCCGGCGGTCACCCTCAGTAGGGAGGAGCCTGCTTGCCAGGAGCCGACCTCCAAGGGAGCTCCGTTCCCCAGTCTACTAGGGCTGCTAGATGACTAGCGGGGCCCTGGCTTTCCGACTCCGGTTACCCTCGCCGAGCCTAGGGTCACAAGACATGGGGGCTACCTACTCCGCACTTCCTTCTTATTCTGGCCATCTCACCCCTTCCCAGGTCTTAGTCATGGGAATCGATGGGACCCCGAGTATCCCCTATCAAACCCCACCACTCATGTGCTCATATAACTCCACTCCCTTCACCCACTCCTTTTTAGTAATCCCCACCTGCCCAGTTCCCCTTCTGGGGTGAGACATCCTTTCAAAGCTGAAGGCCGTCATAACCTTCCCCACCGCCAGCCCACACAGCCTTTTTCTCCTAGCCCTCAATACTCTGCCTCAGAACTCCAGACCCTCCAGTCTACCCCCGGGGTACAGTTCAAGGATGACTGGGCCTTCAAGCATAACCTCCTCATCCTCCCTGAAAAGCAAAGGTACCAGATAATCCAAGACATCCATAATTCACTCCACATTGGGCCTAAAGCCTTATACCAGTTCCTCCACCCACTTTTTCACCCCCACCGCCTCCTCAATACCATACAGGAAGTCCAGTCCTCATGTACTGTCTGCGTGAAAACTAATTCCCAGAGTTCCTGTCATCCCCGGCGCCAGCTTCATCAGCTACACAGGTTCCTACCTGGCCAAGACTGGCAAATTGATTTCACCCATATGCCAAAGCACAAACAGTACCGGTATCTGCTAACCATTGTTGACACTTTTTCAGGCTGGATTGAAGCTTACCCCACAGCCTCTGAGTCTGCCGGGACAGTAGCCACTCATCTCATTCAAGACATCATCCCACGCTTTGGACTCCCGGCTACCATACAGTCAGACAACGGCCCAGCCTTTATCTCCAAAGTCACTAATGCCGTTTCTACCTCTCTAGGAATTCAGTAGAAGCTACATGCTGCCTACCATCCTCAGTCCTCTGGTAAGGTGGAACGGGCCAATGGCCTAATAAAGGAGCATCTGACTAAGCTCATGCTTGAGCTCCGCCAATCCTGGGTAACCTTAATTCCTATCACCCTCACCAGGGTAAGAGCAGGCCCCCGGGGCCCATCACAGCTTAGCCCATTTGAGCTGCTGTATGGTTGCCCCTTCCTACTTTCAACTCCCCCACCGCCAGAGACTACTCCTCTAGACAGCTACCTCCCCTACTTTACTCTCCTTCGCAGCCTTCTCCGAGAACACGCCAACGCTTCTCTTCCCCAACCCACCCAGCCATCTGAAAATACACAGAAAGTCCTCCCGGTAACCCTAGTCCCTCGACTCACTATATATTCCCCAGCCGAATTCCAGATGCTGCAAACTCCCCATCGCTGCACCCGATGAGCTGCCTTCCTACCCATTGCCGTTGGAGTCTCCCTTGCTGGTTCAGCACTTGCAGCAGGATTAGGAGGAGGGGCACTAGTCCACTCTCACCTGGCTATAGCCCGACTGACCTCGCAATTCCAAGCAGCTATTGATGACTCTACTGAGTCTTTAGCATCACTCCAACGACAGATCACCTCAGTTGCCCAAGTTGCCTTACAGAACTGAAGAGCCCTAGACCTGCTCACTGCTGAACGAGGAGGGACCTGTATCTTCCTACAAGAAGAGTGCTGTTACTACATCAGTGAATCCGGCCTAGTAGAAACCCGAATCGAGAGCCTCCAGAAACTCAAAACTAACCTCTAGAGTCAGAAGTTCTCGGCTGAAGCCACAGCGTGGTGGTCTTCCTCTATGTATACCCTCTTGTCACCATTGCTTGGGCCCCTAATAGCCGTTTGCCTAATCTTACTTATTGCTCCTTGCTTTCTCCAGTTCCTACAGCGGCTCTTTCAAGAACTGACTGGAGTCACCATCCACCAGATGCTGCTCCAACCCCACCCTGAACGAGTGCAAGAAACAGACCTCTCCCCAAACCTCCAGGCTCCTTAGGAAAAGAAACCTCTTCAGAACCCCCCGTCGACCCTTGTCAGCAGGAAGTAGCCAGAGAGACAACCGACGCCCCTGACCCCCTCTTTTTCTTTTCTTTAAGGAGTCGGGAATGTTTGGAAAACTCTGCCCCTACCGCAAACGCTCTCTCTCTCTCTCTCTTTCCCTCCCCCACAAAGAGGCTCCCTTATCTCTCACTTTACATACTGGTCCTAGCCCTCCCGCCGCCCAGCTTCCCACCCAGCAGTTCAAACTGACCAACAGTTGCCCACCACCTCGGCTTTTGGCTTCCCCACCCCCCAGCCCTTCAGCCCCCTATAAAACAACCCTGCCCCTCTGAGCAGCGCGGCCATTTTTCCTTTTCGTCCCGGCTGGCCTGCCCGGAGGCTCTTTCCTCTCAATAAAGCCTGAACTTAAGGAATTTCCTCTAGCCTGCGGTCCGGTTTTTTCTGAACGAGCTCAGTCTTCCCGCAGAGGGTAGGTCGGACAGTCGGGAGTTCGAGACCAGCCGGGTCAATATGGTGAAACCCTCTCTACTAAAAATACAAAAAAATCGGCTGAATGTGGTAGCGCATACCTGTAATCCCAGCTACTCAGGAGGCTGAAGGAGCAGAATCACTTGAACCCAGGAGGCAGGGGTTGCAGTGAGCTGAGATTGCACCATGGTACTCTAGCCTGGGCCACAGAGCTAGAATGCCTCAAAAGACAAAAACAAACAACAACAACAAAAGCACAAATGGCCTTTTGAGACTGCCTTCTTCCACTTAACAAAATGTTTTCCAGGTTCATCCATATTATAGAATATATCAGTACTTAATTCCTTTTTGCTAGAAAATAATATTCCCTGCTATAGATTTACCAAAATTTGCTTATCCATTTGTGTACAAATCTTTGTGTGGTTATGTTTTAATTTCTCATGAGTGGAATTCAACAATTCCTCTGGCAACTCTGTTTAACTGCTTGAGGAACTGCCAGGCTGGTTTCCAAAGTGGCTGCCCAATTGACATTCCCTCCAACAATGGATGAGGGTTCCAGTTTCCCCATATCCTCACCAACACTGGTTGTTGTTTGTCTTTTGATAATAGCCATCTTAGTAGGTGTGAAGTGGTATTGCATTATTGTTTTAATTGGCATTTCCCTAATGGCTAACAATATTGAATGTCTTCTCATGTATTAACTGGGCATTTATGTATCTTTGGAGAAATGTCTATTCAGTGGCTTTGCCCATTTCTTAATTGGGTTGTCATGTGCACTTTTATTAAACCACCTTCTGTGTGACATGCACCTACTGTGTGCTGGGCACTATGTCATAGCCACTCACCAATATGCTAGAAGATAGATGTTAGTGTCCCCATTATACAGATGAGGAAACTGGGGCTGAAAGACAGAGTGACTTAGTCAAGGTTTCTCTGCTTTGTAGGGCAGGACTAGAACCTGAAAACTTGCATTTGCATCAGAGAGACTGACAGTGCACAACTGAACAAAACCAGTAGCAATAGGCCCCAAAAGGGAAATAAAGTAGATGACCTGCTGGCAGGGGTCTGGGGATGGAAATGGACATCACTAGCAGGGAGGGCAGGGGCTGAGCCTGACTGATGGTAAGTCACTGACCATGTGGAGATCCAGATAACAAGCCTTCCAGGCAGAGGGAGTAGCTGTGCCAAGGCCCTGAGGTTGGGGTGGATCTCAGCATGTCTGAAGGACAGAAAGAAGGACACCATGATGGAGAGAGAAGGCTGCGGGCGGAGTGGAGAGTGGAGGAAGGAAGGTGAGCTCATGTATGTTTTGGCTGCACAGAGAGCTGCCGGGGCTCACCAGCCCAGCAAGCATTGCTGAGGGCTGCCAGGCAGCTGCAGGGCATGGAGTCCCTGATCAGATCCTGCTCTACCACAGATGGGCTGTTGGGATCATGGTCGAGGCCTTTCCTCACGCCCAGCTTCCGCTTCCCATTTGAAAATGGACTGCTGGGTGTGGGAGGCACCGAGGCAGGCATCACATGAGGCAAAGCATGTCAGCTCAGTGCCTGCCCCATGTAGGTGGAGGACAAGCATGATGATTTCCTCATCTATACACTCAGGGAGGGGTGGGCTCTGCCTTCCATTTCATCATTGAACAGCCAAGGCCTGGTGTGTAGTAGCCATTCATTAAAAAACAGCTGACTGAATGACCGGCAGCAAGTCAGGTTTCTTATAAAGACACTTGTGTGAGGGAGGAGTGAGGAAAGCCAGCAGGTGGTGTACACTGTGGAGGGCTGTGCACAGGCAGATCCGCCTCGAGAAACTCTCACTTTTCTGCTTCTTCTCGGGCCCCTCCCTTTGAATTTGATAACAGCAACCTCTCTGCCCAAGGCTGTACCCTGAATTCTTGCCATGAGCATGTCCTGTACCCAATCCTCAAATGTAGTGGCTTTCAAGCTTTCCTGACTACCTTCTTGAGGAAGAAATACATTTTGCACAGTGAACACAAAAGAAAGAGCCCACTCCCAGCGTTTGCATGTTCCCTGAGCTCAGCTCCTGAACCACTCCTTCACTTCTCACAATAACCCATGTCTTACTGTTTTCCTTCCATGGACAGATGAGGAAACTGAGGCCTGGAGAGATAAACAACATGCCAGGGGTCATGTGGCTGGGCAGGTGGGCTCCAGGGCTTGTGTTTTTTGTTTTGAGGCAGAGTCTTGCTCTGTCGTGCAGGCTGGAGTGCTGTGGCGCAATCTCGGCTCACTGTAACCTCCACCTCCAAGGTTCAAGTGATTCTCCCATCTCAGTCTCCCAAGTAGCTGGGATTACAGGCACCCATCACCATGCCCCGCTAATTTTTTGTATTTTTAGTAGAGATGAGGTTTCATCATGTTGGCCAGGCTGTTCCTCAACTCCTCACCTCAAGTGATCTGACTGCTTCAGCCTCCCAAAGTGCTGGATGACAGGCGTGAGCCACCACACCTGGCCTGGGGCTTGCATTTTTAGTACTCATGGGTGACAGAAATAAAGACTGTGCTTCATTATATGCATATTTTCTATTCCAGATCTCTTTCAAAATGCACATCACAATCCACTCCATGGATTTTGCAACTCACTACTGGGTCACAAGCTGCAGGTGGAAACATCCTGTCCAGACCCAAGGCAGGATAAGCCGAGATGCAGCATGCCAAGGGCATACCAACTAGGCACCTCCTACCTGCTGCTCCCCACCCCCTGGCACCAGGACCCCTCCTTGCTGTCTTTCCCACCAACAGGGCCAGCAGCCAGAACTATCTACTCTCCTTCTCAAATGTGAACTGACAGCTTCGGGGCAGCTCAGGGGTCTCCAGCAGTCCCTAGACCTGGGGAAGGGAGAAACAGGCGGGAGTGGAGGCCCACCCATCTCTTTCCTGGAAGGGGAAAGTCATTATGATGCAGCCTGCAGGAGCTGGATGGGCTTTCATTTCCCAAGGCCTGAGCTGGGGGCCAGAGGAGATTGCTCACAGATAGGGAGATGCTGCTGCTGAGGCTGATGCTTTATTCCTGCTTCTGCTCCTAGGCAGGCAGTCAAGCTCCTTAACCCTTGAGGGAGCTGCAGACTGAAGGCAGCCTGCAGCTGGGTGGGCCCCGCTGGAGTAGAGGCTGGCATTATGGAAGGCAGGGAGAGCTCCTTAATCATTTTATTAACAGTTATTCTCAGATTTCTTGAGTATGAGCTAAATCCTTTCTCTGTATTATCATATATAAACCACCAATATCTCTGGGAAGTTGCTTATTGGGATTATCCCATTTTATAGATCAGGAAGTGGCAGTCCAGAGACTAAAGTTGCTTGCCCATAGCCTCAAGGCCAGGGTGGGGGCAGTGCAGGGAGAAACAGGTGTTATTAATATTTATTGAAGGGGTAAATATTTGAGGGTTCTGGGTGAAGGGTGTTGGGGGTTTCAGCAACCTGCGGACCACGGATCCATTCAGCATCTTCGTGGCCTAGGAAGACATCCCAGGCCCTCTACATAGAAGCCCCCTCCTCTCAGGCACACTCTCTCTTTTTCCTGCTTCAGTCCATTCCTGTCATCTAACGCCACTGCTTTTTATCCCTCATCTGTGCGTTTAAGACCCTGTGCCTCTACTAAAAATACAAAAAAAAAAAAAAAAAAAAAAACTAGCTGGGCATGGTGGCATGTGCCTGTAATCCCAGCTACTCAGGAGGCTGAGGCAGGAGAATTGCCTGAACCCAGGAGGCGGACATTGTGGTGAGCCGAGATCGCGCCATTGCACTCCAGCCTGGGTAACGAGCAAAACTCCATCTCAAAAAAAAAAAAAAAAAGACACTGTGTTGCTATGCCTGCAACCTGGCCCACTGCTTTTCAAGATGAGAAACCAGCTTTATAGGTTGCACTTGCATCTGACGTCTTACTAAATCCGTGTTAATTCTAATAGTTTGTCTATTGAGTCTGTCGGTTTTTCTAGGTAGATGATTAAATTATCTTCAAATACTGACAATTTTATCTTTTGCTCTTACATCCTTGTACCTCTTATTTCAAGTTCTTTCTGTAGTGTGTTGGAGAGCTCTAATGTATTTTGCATAGTGGTGTTGAAGTAATATCTTTGTCTTTTTACAGGGAAGATTAAAATATTTAAAGTGTCTCTATTGTGGGGCGCAGTGGCCGATACCTGTAATCCCATCACTTTGGGAGGCCGAGGCCGAGACTGGTGAATCATCTAAGATCGGGAGTTCGAGACCAGTTTGGCCAACATGGTGAAAGCCTATCTCTACTAAACTTACAAAAATGAGCTGGGCATGGTGGCAGGCACCTGTGATCCCAGCTACTTGGGAGGCTGAGGCAGGAGAATGGCTTGAACCCAGGAGGCAGAGGTTGCAGTGAGCCAAGAATGTGCCATTGCACTCTAGCCTGGGCAACAAGAGTGAAACTTTGTCTAAAAAATAATAATAAAAAAATAAAATAAAGTGTCTCAATTAAGAAAAATATTTGTTGTGGGTTTTTCTTATATAAACTACACTAGGTTAAGAAAGTGACCTTCTATTTCCAGCTTGGTAGACTTTACCTAATGAATTTTGTTCACCAGTTGAGATAGAATTTGATTTTTCTCTTTAGTCTATTAATACTGCAAATTATATTGATTTATTTTCTGATGTTGAACTGTCTTTGCATTGCTAGAATAAACCTTACCTGACATAATGTATTGTTTTAAAAAATAAATATACCATTGGATTCAGTTAGCTAATCTTTCATTTATTCAACAGTGAAATAAGCCATGAGATTTTCATCTTCTCTTCTTTGTATTGACCTTATCTGATTTTGAGGTGCACTAGGCTCAGAAACAAACCAATTGCCCATCTACAGTAGAATGGATAAATATATTGTGGTATAACTGTACAGTAAAATTCTATTTATCAGTGACATTGAATGAACTTCAATCACACACAACACAGATGAATTTCAT